TCTGGGACTAGTTTTGTTTGCATATTGTTATGGCACCAGGTAACTCCATTTTATGCATGTACCATAATGCCAGACAATAACATGAGGCCATGGAATAAAAAGGCAAGGAAAATGGCAATATTTATCCATGCATCTGGTGTAAGTGTGCAGAAATGAAGCTGGAGAGCTATAAGGAAAAATAAAACTGCACCATTGTTAAAATCACGGGTGTAAGAGCAAATAAAGTCTTTCTTCCCTGGGCTAAGGAATGTTATGCCCTTTCAAGAGTAACTCCTTTGAGTAATCAAGATCTGAATATGACCCAAAGTTTCTGTGTGTGATAACGAAGTGAAGGCAATGAAGTAATAACGTGTTTTTACTCTTTGTGACTGGAATTCATAACTCTTATATAGAGGTCCAGAGAGCCCTCTCAAAATTTCAGACTACAAACTCGGACTTTAGAGGAGCATAGACTTCACATGTACTCTCTGCACACGGTTGACTTTCAGAAAATGAGTTAGAATGGAATATCCTGCATTTAAGTTAATGAATGTAACACTGGTGGCTAAAATTCTAGAGAATTGCTATCCAATGTACTTTATAAGCTTTTTTTCCGTTTTAAATAAATGAAATACCTATTCTTCCAGCGCATGCAATTATTTATCACATTGAAAGAAATACACTGTGCTTTGAAAAGGAATTTAACCAAATGGAGTGTGAGTACATATGTGTGAGTGTTGTATATTGGTTTAGCTAAGACTTTCTCCAAAGAGACCCTACTGATTTAGGATACATTGTAAAATATACCTTTTTCTGAGCCCAACAAAACATACAAGAACGACTGAAGTCTATTTCTTTTCTTCTTAGCAATTGATATTCTGGTTGAAGTTCTGAGGATATTTTTGTCTAGTCTTTCATTCCACTAAATGTCGTAGAACACTATATTCATCAGTATGCAGAAGATATTAGATAATTTATACTTAATGGAAAACTCAAAGTATCACATATTATTTAAAACCCTGTTTGGTAGCAATACCCACCTATACAGAGCTTTACTGGCTTTAAGACAGATATCCATCATTTGTCTTCATAGGGCTCTGTACAGATGCAGAGGTCTGCCTGTTGGGAGTTCATTGTTGGATCAGTACCTAGATAAAGGGGATATAAATAAAAGTTTGTTGGATGCAACTGAGTAATTACAGAGCTCTACAGACATCTCTAGCCAAAATGGTATACACAAAGAAATGAAATGAAAGTGGAAAAGTTTGCTCTTTTTTCATACCTAAGTAAAGAAAAAACTTTTTTACCTGGTTCTTCTCCTGTTGTCAGTTCTAGCTATTTAAACTGAATTTGGAAAGCAGCAATAAAGAAGTTGGGGAAAAGGATAATGTTCTAACTTGCCTTTCTAGATTTACCTGGTTTCTCTGTGAAGTTTATCCTTGTTATCAACAACTTGTTCTGTCACAAACAGGAGACCTTAAGTCAATGGGCTCAGTTAATCACAGGTATAATTGTAGTGGAACCCTTAGAATTACAACAGGATGACTTTGCCCCTTTTGGATTTAAGATCCTCATTTTACTGTTGTGTGCACAGCAGAACTGCAAATTAAGCTGTCGCTTTTACTAAATTTAACCACTCCAGTGGTTATGTTGAGTACATGTTGCTTTCACTGGGTTATTATGCATTTTTAGTTGTGGTATGTGATAAGATGAAGACTGCAGAGAGTCAGGTCCTTGAAGGTTCTGACTCACCCTCCAAAATTACTGTTGCTTTAGAGTCTGCCTTTTTCTCTAGGCCTGTTAGCTCCCCGTGTTTTTGCTGGTACTAGTAATGGCTTTTGTTTATATGGCTGCTGTACAACACCATGATTAGTGTCCTATGAGATTTCTACAAAACAGCATCTAAGGTCCAAACCAGCACCTATTAAAGTCAGCTGAAGGATTCCCATTGTCTTCAATAGGCATTATATTAGGTCCTAAAACTGGTGAAGTCAAATTTAAAAAGAAAAGGATTTTTTTTCTAGATTCTTTCAATAATACCTTTTTATATATTAGTTTCAGTATAAGGATCTATTATGTAAGTTACAGGACAAGCTTTAGGCTCCCTGCTACCAAGGAAAAAATCCTGGATGGTAATCACTCCAGTTATGTATGCCACAGGAACAAGATCCCTGTAGGAGGTCAAAAACCCAGCAGATACTTACAATTCAGTCCAAATAGGTCTTTAGAGATCAACACTAAAAATCTTACAGTGCATTCCATTTGCCTAATAGGCAGTCAATAAAGAAGTGGAGCGGGAAGTAGTCAAGCTCTCTCTATCACATTTTTTTATGGCATAAATCATCATAACGCCTAGGCTAGGGACAGAAGTTACACATAAACTGGTTTAAATGACCAGAAGCTGGTAACAGAAACTGAAACCTGTAACAGAACAGAAACTCAGTGCACATAAACCAGCTTCAAAATGGCCGAAACTGGTTTAAGATAAACCTGGCTGAATAAAGTATCAGACTTAACTGATTTGGGTCAAACCAGTTAAAGAAACTTCTGTCCCAGACCCCTTCCTGGTTCAAGTTAAATCACAGCCCCCCAGCATCCCAGTATGCTTTCCAGCCCTAGGCTGGGCTGTCTGCTCCAACAGCGAAGGGTTGGCCCTGCCCCTCTGCTCCCTAGCTGGAGCAGTGAGGGCTGGCTGACAAGGTGGGGGGGGAGAAGCCTGGCTGAGGGATGCAGCTGTGGGGGGGGACCCCGGCTGTGGTCTGGTGCCAGGAAGGGGGTTTAAACACTCCTTTCCCCATTCAAACTTACTGCTGGCTGCAACTGTGGACTACAAATCCCAGAGGCTCCTGGAAGCAGGAAGAAGTGATGAGCAACCCTGCAGAGTCCTGCTGCTGTAATTCTGGACTGCAAATCCCAGAGACCTTGGGGGCAGCATGAAGAGGAAGTGAACAGACAGCCAGAGAGCTATGCTCTAGTGCTTCCCAGCTTCTGGCTTGAGCTACTGCAGGCATGTGGCTGCATTTCCTGAATCAAAGGTTAGATGTCTATTCGCTTCTCTTTCAATTTAATCTGTACAGTTTAGACTAACTTGCAAAGACTGAATCAATTTAGCCTCAGGCTTTTGACTGTCTGTACTTATCCCTTAGCCTCTGCTAGTCCCTCACAAAAACACCAGCCTTCTGCACCAGATCTCTGTGGTTGTTTAGCCTCTTAAGTAACCTATGACCAGTGCATTGAAAAAGTTCCAACCACAGCATCCCAAAGGCACAAAGACTGGAGGATAAATACTAACATTGACATCAACTGTAGTCACTAAGAGAGGGTCTTTCATTTCGTATTTTATTCTTCAATTTGAGTTCTAAACCCTGCCATCCTAATTTAGGCAACACTTCTGCTTCACTGTGTGTCAGTGAGATGAAGGAAAATAGCATTCCACTTCTGTTCTTTCTCCTACTGAAACTTCAGTTCAGATGTGTTGTTGTTGTTGCTGTCCTTGTTCTTGTGTATTAAAAATTGAATTCCCATTTGCAACATGCTATATGGAGTAGTGACCAGTACTCTTGGTTCTACATGCTTCTGTGTTTTTCCAGCACATACACCTTTATCATGGGACTTCCCCTTCCTCCCAGGAATCTGTGGGTAATTAATTAACAGATTGCTCACAGATGTTCACAAGCAGCTACAATGTGGATGGCCTTTACCCAGTAAGGAATATGTTGATTTTTTTTTAACACTCCTCCAGACTCTACAATGCAGGAGTCTCCATGGAATGGAGAGGGTCTGAGGGCTGCTCTCACTCCAAGAAACTAATTGGAAGGTCACATATGGACACAGACTGGTTGATCCAAGGATTAACTGAAGTGAAGGAAGGAGTTAAACTGTCTGCTGGAGGATCACATAAAAATAAATTTGCTGGGGGAAGAGGGGCAGAGAAGAGGGCAAGAGAAAAGGAGAGGAAGGCAGGTTAAGAGTTAGGCTCTTTTTCTGTTGGGGGAACAGAACTTTATGGTTTTTCATAACTTTTATTTTTAAGGAGCTTGCCCATCCTAGAATGAAAGGTCTTTGCTTTGTTGTGGTTATTGATCTCAATTATTTCAGGAGCAGCTGAGCAAACTGTCTGCACGAGCTGGGCTTGATATGAGAGACCCTGATGTTTCACCAGCTTCAAACAATATTATCTGTAGATAGGACTTAGCCAAGCTTTGGGTCCATTTACTGCCTTAGTTTCTCTTCTCAGATGGTCATGCACCAGGTCTCTGTATAATTAGGCTGCTGAGATGATTTTGCCTTCTTGGCTAAGCCACAGAAGTCGTCCACTGTTTCCAGAGACAAAGTCCAAATGGAAATTCAGAACCTATTCAGTAGTTTGCCCCAGACTTCTACCAGGCATAGAATTCCTTCTCAGGAGCTCTCTAATCCCTGGATATCTTGAGCCTTTTAGTCTGGACTAAATTCCATCATCTCTCCCTTCCTTCCTGGAAGAAGTGGCTGGATCTTTCAGGATGATGGCCTGGGGAAAAAATAAATCACACACTTTCCTTACCAGTTCCCAGGTCCTAGAAACCTCTATCTTTAAGCTTATTATCCCATAACTCCTACTACCCCAATGACTCAATTCTTGATTTTGTGATTTTCATGGAAATCACGAAAAAGTTGGTTTCCAGGATCACTGCGAAAACTGGTGTTTCCCACAATTTTGTGTGAAATCACCAGGAAAAAAATTACTTAAATAAAATGCTGGATTGGCAGTGGCTAATGCAGCC